AATATGTTTTCTATTTACTCCAAAAGTATTTTCCCAGCCCTGAAAGAAATGTGGACCCTATGGGCAAAAAAGTAAAAAAGCGTTGAAAATTTCATTGAGTTTTGTTCATAAATAAAGATTTTGTCATATATTACATATTTGTTTAATTTTTAAAACTATGATTAATATCAAAATTTTTTTTTAGTTAGATATGGAAATTCTCGATTCTTTACAAAAATTTTCAAGCCAATATCTCAATTACATTCAAAAATATGATCATTTAAACTTGTATCCTTTAATTTCATATTTTTCATATTTTAGTATTAAATATGACAGAACATATTTAAATCTTATATTTACATATTTTCTATTTGTTTGCTTATCCTTATAATTGAAAGGTCCTATTATGCTTAAATTTTCAGAAATTTATAACTATTTTTTACCTAAATTTGTTCGACAGATCATCTCATTCTGTTTCGTTTATGATCATGTAGGTAACAATATTTCGATTCATTCACTAATAAGAAATATCAATGACTGAATTACAGGTTATAGTCCTAAATGTTAATAGGTAGACAATTCGTAATTTTTTATTTTGGAATACCTGTACCGGAAATGACAAGAATTGGTATATAAGTAAACTTCTCAGATTTTAAGTACCATATTTAATAAATCTACAATGAAGATTACATTAAAGTACGAAGAGTTGTGTTCCGTTTTATGGAGTGTATCTTCAAAAGGGCCAGAAAGAATTGAAGACATTTCAAATTATATAAAAACTACATATAGTAGAAAAGTAGACAAAACAGGCATATCAAAAATTGAAAACTTTTTAAAACTTTTTGATGTAAAAAGTAAGTCTGTGGATGGAAATCAAAAGAAATTTCGATTAAAATTTTGTAGTTGGATGGAAACTACTACGGAAATCTCAACTTACAACACATCAACAGGAGCGCCTTGCAAGTCATACGAAGACTTATGTTCAAGGTCAAAAAAAAGAGGGTCACACAAAAACTTTTTTCAATCTCAAATGAGGAAATTGCTGATACATTTAACGAAATGCTGAAAAAGGAAAACCAACCTATGGATATCGTACATATTGCAACTATTCTTCCTAATGCATCACCAAAACGACTTAAGCGAATTGTGGAAAGTATACCAACTCCAACATCACAATCAATTTTTACTGAAGAGAAAGCAATAGCGCTTATGTTGGAACTGGGTCTCAGTCGAAATAAGTACCAAATATTAAGGAAAGCTCTGCATGAAAAAGGACTCAATATATTACCATCATACAAGGCGATACAGGAAAAAAAAACTATCCTACCATCACCTATTGCTGTTAATGATGTGGAAGCTTGTATTGATATATCATTTTTGCTCGAAAACACAGCATCAAGTATTGTGTCAGACTTTTCAGAAGACCAACTAAGGAAAATTCATAACTGTGATGTTGTCTTAATGTGTAAGTGGGGATGTGACGGTTTATCAGCACTTCCAGAATACAAACAAGCTTGTGGAAGTCGGACATTAGCAGACTACAAAAGTGTATTTATGTCATCATTAGTGCCATTACGAATTCGTTCATATTCCCTTAATCCATCATCGTCAAGCATCGGAAATTCATTTGAAGATATATGGATCAATACAACTCCTGGTTCAAAAAATGTTTGTAGACCCATTGGATTTGAATATATAAAGGAGTCAAAGAAAACAACAAAAGATTTAGTGGAATATTTAAAAGATGAAATAAATGCACTGGAGCCCATTTGCATAAAAATAAAGGAATTCTCTATTAACGTATCATATCAGCTAAGCTTAACAATGATTGATGGAAAGGTCAGCAATGCCATAACAGAAACTTTTTCCTTCTGGAGATGCTCAATATGTAATGAGAAAAAGTCGCAATTCTCAAATATAAACAAAAGCAGAAGTATTAATGAAGAAGCCCTGTCTTTCGGAATTTCACCACTTCATGCCAGAATACGATTTTTGGATTACTTTTTACACATAGCATACGACCTCAAATATAGAAGTGTGCCAGAGAATCTTACTAAATCAACAAAAAATAATGAAGAATTGAAAGAACTGAGAGCTGCGGAAAAAAGCAGAATCCAAGAAGAATTTAAAGTTCAGATGGGATTAAACATCGACAAACCACTTTCAAGTTGCGGTAGTACAAATGACGGTAATACGTCGAGAAGGTTTTTTTTTGTGATTTTGAAATTACTTCAAAAATAACTGGAATCGACAAGGAGTTGCTTCGAAGATTTTAATGGCACCGAATAGTAAACATAAAATTAATGAAAATTGATTTGGGGAATACACATCTGAAATTTCTAAATTACTTGTATCTCTGTATCCATGGAGGGAACTAACACCAACAGTACACAAAGTATTGTGTCATGGTCAAATAATAATTGAATCGAATATTCTTCCACTTGGAGAGTTAACAGAAGAAGCCCAGGAAGCGAGGAATCGAGATTTTAAGCATGTTCAACTATTCAGCTCAAGAAAATGCTCCAGGCAATCACAGAATGAAGATATTTTTAATAGTTTACTTCTATCTTCTGATCCTGTTCTTTCAACTATGCGAAAAAGATGGATTTGTTATGAAACTCTATCATCTCAAAACAAGGAAGATTTAAAGGACTTATATTACCTTCTGGATATGTATACCGATATGACAGATTATTTTATAGAAAATAAGTAGTGTTAGGAATTAACTATATAAGTAGGTTGTAAGAATTAATTGTATTATGTTTAAGATAAACAGTTCAAATAAAAAAGCTATTATACTAACTGATGATATTGTATTAAATTCTGTTTTATATTTCGGTGGGCGGGAAAGGTGGTTTGTGTGGGGTGATTTAGGTGTTGTTGTGCGTGGCTCATAATAAAATTATATTTTTTTATTGTACATATATACAATGTTATAGTCTTTAATAAAATAATTAACTAAATAATTTTTAAAAATTGTCCAAATATTTTATTCAACACCAAAAGTATGTTCTGTCATACTTAATACTAAAATATGAAAATGATGAAATTAAAGGATACAGGTTTAAATGAACATATTTTTGAATGTAATTGAGATATTGGCTTGAAATTTTTTGTAAAGGGTCGAGAATTTCCATATCTAACTAAAAAAAGATATTAAGGGATAAATATGGACTAAATTGTTGTAGCTATCTGCGACCCTATTAAAATTTTGATATAAATCATAGTTTTAGAAATTAAACAAATATGTAATATATGACAAAATCTTTATTTATGAACAAAACTCAATGAAATTTTCAACGCTTGTTAAATTTGTCAGTTCAAATAAGAAAATGCTAAAAAAAATTGAAAAGGTCAAAGGGCATCCCGCAATTCCCAAAAATAGGAATGAAAATCCCAAAAATGCGATTTTTTACTTTTTTGCCCATAGGGTCCACATTTCTTTCAGGGCTTTTCTTTCTTTTGGAGTAAATAGAAAACATACTGAGGTTTCCAAAACTGCTTTCAGTTTTCTGATCCCAGCTTTGGGATTTTAGAACATGTCGCCCAAAGTTGAAGTTTTGATAAAAAATAGGTCATATTCGGAAGGACGCAGTGGCAACATTTTCAAAAAATAGGACAAGTTTTTTACGCTAAAGCGTTCTGCGTAAAGATACCTTTTAGAAAACTATAAAATTGTTATATGTTCTTAAAGAAAATTTTATTTTATTAATAAAAGAGTTAAGACACATTTTTGGTAAAAAAACGGCAAAAATCTAAAATTTTTTGAATTTTTAAATTAAAAAACGTATATTTTTGGATCTGTAAATGATATTGATCTGAAATTTTTTGTATATTATTGGAAATTTTGTTGTCTAACTAATAATCAAAAAAAGGCGGACCAAGGTATGGTAAATTTTGTATCACTAAATTTTTAAATGCCTATAACTCTGATATTATAAGAGATAAGTAGTATATCCAAGCATGTTTTTTCAAGATCTCGTCGAGCGCTTTCACAAAATAAAAATCTTTGTATTTGGGCGAAAAACAAAAAAATGGCACGAGTTTAAAAATTTTACATGTCGTAGGTACCCTACTTTGAGCCGCCACAGCGCCGTCCCTGGGGCATCTGCAGGGTTCATCTTCAAAACTTAAACTCGAATACTCCTTGGCTATGCTCACGCCAAATTTTATCCCGATCGGATCAGCCGTTTAGAAATGACAGATTTATTTCCAAAAAATTTCCATTCTGCCCCACTGTGCCCTGATGTTTATAGGGCAGCATTTCTTTTACGGCATACGGTTTGATGGTGGGTATATGAGATTCGGCACAGCCGAACATAACACTCTCACTTGTTTTGAATTGAAGTTTCATTTTATTTCAAGTGTGATAGTTTAGAAACAAAAAATATTTGTTCATTTTATTTTGGCAGTATGAAAGAAAAATCTAACGACTTCTCTCATAGTTTGTGGTACGATTGTATGTCAAAAAGTTACACAGAAGAATGTGATAAATTTACAAGTTTAAAGCCAAACAACTATAAACCTTTAATTGCTTTGTATTTTCTAATCAGTAAAATATGTGCATAGCTACTAGTGTCATTTGCGTTATAGGTATGTACCATCATATAAAATGAAAAAAAAAAAATATCAAAACGGGAACTTTGCTTACGACTTTACCAATATATTACTCATCAGTAAATACTGAATGGCACATAACTCTAAATATACACATACTTATAATTAAAAAAAGTAAATACTTGCATATATGTTTGTATACATATGTATACAAAGATATACATACATGCAAATGTATGTAAGTCAGTTTCATCGATTTAAAAAATTATTTAAATATAAAAATTTTCGCAAAGGGAAACAGTGTATATAACACTATTTTGTTGAATAGGGTTCCTCCTTTTTTGAGAGTTTTAAAAAAGATAAGTATACAGAATCACTCTCTTATTTGTGCTCTTAAAACATAAACAAGCTGAATAACCTCTATATTAAAATTGAAACAATATTCACTTCAGTCAATAATCGAAGTTCGTGCGGTCAAGATGGCTTCAAATGAATTGTATATTGTAAATTTTAAAATCCAGTTAAATTTTCGATATATTCGTATACATACATATGTATGTATAACATATAAGAACGAATGTACATACATAGATACCCATGTATATAGTTTATGAGTTAACTACTAGGATTGGCTTGTTAATGAATTAATTTTAACTTAATTATTATTATTAAGCGGTTTAAGAATAATTTTTAAATTACGCATAACTACATTTGTCCTTATTATCAAAATATTTATTTTTGTTGTAAAGGTGATCTCTTTTAAGTAATCATAACATTATGTTGGTATCACTTTATGAGTTATTTTTAACTTAATCATGAGTTAAACAAATATAAAAATTGTAAATGGTTATAAAGGTACGTATGTATGTAAATTAACTTAATTATTTTTTATTTGTGAATTTCTTAAAATTACTTAATCTCTAAAATTCTTTAGTAACTGAAAATGTAATTTATACAAAAATGTATGCAAAAAGAGTGCCAAATAAAACAATTAAACAAATAATTTGCAATACAAAAGTTTTGAAATTCATCATGTCTATTCCTTTAATGAAAAATTAGTTTATTCCAAGAAGCTATTTTTCAAATTTGTATCCTGCTGCCAATATTTGGTGAGCTAAATCAAAGCTCCTTTTTTGAAGTTTTCATAATTTTATCCATATTTCTTACAAAGAAAATATACCTATTGGTACTTTGGCATCCCATAAAAGGTCTTCGAAAAGCGCTTCAACGTCATATCAATCAAGTTTTGTGCAATTAAGCAATTTTTTTAATTTTTCGGAAAGATTATTGTATTTTAAACTTTTTACATTCCATCAAGTTAGTATGAATATATTAAGATATGAAACGTTGAAATCAGCTAAAAACTGATAAAAATAATTTTTTTTCGTAAAAACAAAAATTTATCAAATCTGTCATTGATAAAGTAAATTATCAATTTGAATAATAAAGCTTATATTTGTGTTGCATCTTACTTTGATATTTTACTTTAGCAAAGAAAGATTTGGTAAATTTTTGTTTTTAGGAAAAAATTCTATTTTTTCAATTTTTATCTGATTTCAACGTTCCATATCTTATTTTATTTATAAAAGCATGAGCTAAAATAAAAAAATATTTAAAAATATCTTTTCAAATAAAGTGTGGGTCAAAAATTTAAAAAAATATATTTAGATCTAAATATTTTTCACATTTCCGTAAAAAATATAAAAGTGTGTGTAATTTTTAAAAAGTACAAACAAGACTCTTTGAAACAGTTAAAAAATATTAAATCGGTTAAGAAAATTTTGAGATATAATTTTCCGACAATTAATGCAGAATCAAATCATGCTCATACAGATCCTGCTAAATAAAAAATAAATTCTGAATGATCTTGAATTGTAAAAAAAATTGAAAAAAATATATTTAGATCTAAATATTTTTCACATTTCCGTAAAAAATATAAAAGTGTGTTTACTTTTTAAAAAGTACAAACGAGACTCTTTGAAACAGTTAAAAAATCTTAAATCGGTTAAGAAAATTTTGAGATATTGAATTCTCTAAGAATTTGTTTTTGGAATGTTAAGGGCCTTAGTCAACATAAGAATGAAGTAGAACAATTCCTGCTACTTCAGGAAATTGACGTACAACTCGTCCCTGAAACACACATTACCCTAAAGAATTTTTTCAGAATTAATGGATACTACACTTACGATACAAAACATCCAAGTGGCACAGCCTGCGGTGGAACCGTCATTTTAGTGAGAAAAAATATTAGACATTTCCCAATGTCAGAATACAAAAAAGACCATAAACGCAAACGGCCCTAAATAACCAAAAATTCAAATTCGATTTTATTTGTGATTCTAATGTATTGCATCAAAACAATGTATTGCCTCAAACACCGAAAATTGGACTCCTCCGACCGTAATTATCAATTTTATTGACAGAAAACGAAAGGTTATCTACAAAAACATTTAAATATTAAGGGTTAAGGTAAAAAGTCCAATTTATCCTTTTTTATTCCTTTTCATAACAAATGATAGATTTCACTATTAAACAATTTGTTTATTTACTACAAATAAATCGCGCTGATAGAAACAGACTTTTCATTTTAAATAGTTTTTTGCTTCTCCTGTAAAATTTTAAAAATGTTAGATAAGGGCGTTTGCGTTTTAGGTGACGATATACACTATTAATCGTTACATGAAACGCAAACGGCCCTAACTAACCAAAAATTCAAAATCGATTTTAGTCGATTCTAATGTATTGCATCAAACAAATGTCCACATAAAAAATTGGACACCTCCGAGCAAAATTAGCGAAATTTATTGACAGAAAACAAAAGGCCCTATCTACAAAAGCATTTAAATACTAGCTACGTGTACCCACGTTGCCCGGGTTTCTTCGAAAAGTGAAGAGAATATTTTTCTATCTGTAATGACTTTTTTTGAAATATATATCAAAATTTAGCTTATAACGATAAAATAGTTATTATATTTTTCTGCATTTTATAATCCTTAAAGTGAGTTTCTGGACCAAAAAGTCCCTTAAAAATTTAGAAATTAAAAATGAGCTTAAATTAGGAAATTTTGACTAATTTGTAGAAATATTTAAGAAACTTTTTTTGAGAAATTATACTGAAATCAGCATTTTCAATCACTAGTAGGGAACTATGTACACTTTCAAATTATTTGTTTTATTTTTTCCACGTGCAGTAGATTTTAACAACTGTTCAGTTTAACAGTGTAACCTAACACCGTACTTTGAATTGTAGTGCCCCTGGTGTAAAGAGGCAAAAGTCTTCGGGGGCATTTTATTAATTTCAAAAATACGTACCAATAACAGTGCAAAATTTCAAGCTTTTTTTTTACTGTTCGAAAAAGTACATGCAATTGACACGCTTATGAGAAATTCTGCACCATCATTAAAAATTTGCTCTCATTGATTTCAAATTCCTTTAAAAAGGAACAAAATTAAGTTTTTTTCTGTCTTAGGAAAATATGAAGAATCCTTGAATCTTGACAGAGAAAACAAACCTACTTTTAATTTGACAAACAATTTTGAGTTGTTCATTAAAGAGTAAAACCACCGTTTTTTCGTAATTGTTTCTCAAAAATACATCCATTTATAAAAAAGTATGTTTAAAAATATTATTTTTATTCATTAGCTTTTATGCATCCACACTAAAGTTTTGGATGGATTTAGACACCACTTATTAAATCCGAAGAAATAAAGGTGAAATATAGTTAGATATTCAAAAAGGTTACCCAAATAATTTTACTTATTAAAATATCCACATCTTCCTCTAATTGATTAAAAAAATACACTGTCTGTTGCCAAATTTCTGGAAAATTGGTTCATGTTTTTTTTAATATTTAGCCTAGAAATTTGTGTTATAGCTCTTTTTTTTTAAGTGAACATAAAAATGTGCCTAACATCCAATCAATATCATATAGTCATTTTGATGATTCTAGCTCTAATAGTTTCCCAGATATACGAATTTTTGTACTTAATTCATATGGGAGGTGCCAATCCTCCCTAATGATAGTTAATAATGATTATTAAAATATACAACACTGTCTGTTGACAAATTTCTTGAAAATTGGTTCATGTTTTTTTTTAATATTTAGCCTAGAAATTTGGTGTTATAGCTGTTATTCTAAAAGTGAACATAAAAATGTGCCTAGCATCCAATCAATATCATATAGAGTCTAACAGTTTCCCAGATATAATAATTTTTGTACTTAATTCATATGGGAGGTGCCAATCCTCCCTAATGATAGTCCGCTCATTTGTGTCCCAAATGTTCACATGGATGTTAAAGTTCTTCGTACAAAATTTGAAGATAGTTTCATAGAAAAACGAATTTTTGTATTTAATTCATATGGGAGGAGCCGCCCCACAGTGAGATATTTGGCACTTTTAGAACGACAAAAATAAAAAATAAACGCTTTCCAATTGACTTGACTGTTATTATAGTTAACAATAAACATTCCATATATGTGCTCAAAGTTGCTCCTTTTTTGTAAAAAGCGCGGAATTTATATTTTATTTTAAATTTTAATAAGAGTATACATTTTTGTTAATGTTCTATTCAAATATTTGCGAATATTTTTACAATTTGAAAAAAAAAAAAAAATTCTAAAAGTTACTACCATAATATTCAAACGTTGAAAATGTGTTTAAATACTAAAATGGGTTTTATTAAATTTTTGCAGAGACTGTGCAACAGATATTGAAAATTTGCATTTTCTTATAAATAAATCGTAATCTCTATAAAATTGTCTTTATAAAAATATATAAAAGTTCAAAATCGATAGCAAAAGTTTTGAGATATGTACCTATATGCGACCAAAAATTAAATTTTTATCAATGTGTAATTGTAAAAAATGGGCGTGGCAGCAGTCTTATCGTGATAATTTTTATATGGAATGTTTGGCCAATTGTGTGCTAACTGTAAAAGTTGTTGTAGTTTCTAAGATATGCGACTTTTAATACCTATAATATATGTGGGCGTGGCACCTCGCCTACTTGAATTTCCAAAACAAAAGGTAGCCTATAGTTCCTTCCAGATATCATTATAACAGATTTCATGAAAAAGTTGGCGTAAAAAGAGGCGTGGCGTGGCATCCGATCCAGATCTTATATAGTATATAGTTCCTCCTGAGGTCATACCTATCGGTATACCAAATTTTATGTAAATTGGTTCTGTAGTTTTCTGTACGTCTTGATTGAAAATTTTGTATAACAATTATATAGAAAAAAGTGAGCATAAAAAGAATCGTGACGTCCAATCACGATTTTATATAGCCTATTGTTCCACTTTAGAATAAAACTATTAGTGTTCAAAATTTCATGTAAATCGGTTCAGTAGTTTAGCCGTGAAAGCGTAACAAACGGACAGTCTCATTCATATAATTATAGGATAGGATAAGATATATGTATGTAGGTAAGGATACTTTTATAAAAAGTGGACGTAAAAGGGGGCGTGGCATCGGATCAAGATCTTATATATAGCCTATAGTCCTTTCCGAGCTTATTCCTATCCGTATGCAAAATTTCAGGTTGATCGGTTTAGTAGTTTTTGCAAAATTGGTGTAATAATAGTTTTACAAAAAGTGGGCGTAAAGAGGGTCGTGTCATCCGAACATGATCTCATATAGCCTATTGTTCCTTTAGGGGTTAGACCTATTAGCGGTCCAAATTTCATGCAAATCGGTTGAGTAGTTTTGCCGTGAAAGCGTAAAAAACAAACAGTCGGTTTTATATATATATATATATATAGGATTAAAGGTAAAAAGTCCAATTTATTCATTTTTATATACGCCATTGTCAACTATAATAACAAATAATAAATAGGTTTTATTGTTAAACAATTT